TAAAAAATTCCATGATGGTAAGACAAAAGCTGGAAGAATGCAGCAGTAGAGACAGTCCTTTAAAAGGACAATAAAAAATAGTGAGTAGTGTTAGATAATTCGCATCATCCGCCTACATTCATACATTCACGGCTAAATGTTATCATGCATTATTTTGTTGACTTGCCATATTGTGCTGCACTATTCGTTGATATTAAAAAATTGTTTGATTACTTGTGTTGTGACATTGCTGTGCCTTGTTTGAGTGGAATTGGGATGAAGTGGGTCACCATGGGTTTGTGAGGACGATCGATAAAGCATGGATCCTGATTATGATGAAATTATGAAATTGGACCGTCCGCTGGGTAAATAGGAGATCGGCGCCCCCGTGTGCACTTGATACCATGGATTATATAGAAACCACAGGGTGGCCTCTGTCGTGTGCACCTGATAATCTGGATGTCATGGAAGCCCACAGGGTGGCCTCCTGTTGTGTGCACCTGCTGATCTAGATTTGACGGAGACCACCGGGTTGCCTCTTGTTGGTATGAAAAAGAAAAGAGAGAATAGAAAAACAATGATAGGACTGGTCATGTGAGGATTAGACTGGTCGGCCAGGTATGGGGGATTGGCTCCTCGGGTGCACACGTTTGAGAGGATGGACCATGTGAGAGTACGGCTCGTCGAGGGTCTCCTCGGGTGCACACGTTTGAGAGGATGGACCATGTGAGAGTACGGCTCGTCGAGGGTTTCGGTGACGCCACTAACTAATTTCCACGTGATGTGATTATATGAATATGATAATAATTGTGATTGTTGTTGTATTGCCATTTGTGTGACAAATTGTATGATCATATAACTAGTCGGAGGACTAAAATGATTTATGATAGCATATGTGTGATTGTGTGGGGTGAGAGGGCTATCTAACCCTACTCATTGAGTTTGGCGCTCACCCCTGCCTACTATTTTTTTTCCAGGTAATAGAAAGAAAGAAAAGCTCTATGGAGTTAAAACATTAATTATAGAAGACTGTTAATTATTGAAATAACGATGTAAATGTAAATGTAGAATTCCACAATTGTATTCCAAATGGATTGTAAATGAATAAATATAGTACATATGTGAATTATATAAAGTGTACTTTTGATATGTTTATGGAATAAAGTTATTGGGCCTGAAGCCACAATTATATTTAGAATATGGATGAATTGATATAGGTTTACTACAGGCCTCAGAGGCCTTAAGCCCACTCAGATTCTAGTGCCGATCCAGCCCGTGGAAATGGTTCGTGACAAGAATTTAGGATTTAAATTAAATTTTAAAGCTAAATACATATTATATATTTTCTGTATTTATTGTATACATTATTTTGCTCTATTTAACTTAATAGATAATAAAATAAATTTATAATCTACAATCTATCTATCTATACTATATATAAAACTGAGAATGAGGGGGAATAATGAGGTTTTCTATATTTGTCCCTGTAAAATTTAAAATACTCTAAAACAACTTTAATCATAGCCAAGTAAAAAATTTTAATGTAAAAAAAAATATATAATATCTTTATAATTTGATTGGATGTTTTTTTAAATTTTTTAATAGATAAATACATATAAATAATTAAGCATTTGAAAATTTAAAATTTTACTATTATTATCTTATAATGTCTAATTATTTTCTATTCCATTATATTATAATTAATAATAAAATAATTTTAATAATTTATTATTATTATTTATTTACTATTATTGGAATTTATCTTCAACATTATTATTTTAAATGTGGGAATTTATCTTCAACATTATTATTTTTAAATGAAATATGTGTAAAATTATGAAGGCATTCAAAAAATTTTTTATTTTTTTTAAATTTATTTTTAAATAAATATATATAGATTACTTAAGATTTTGATTTAAAAAGGGTATGCTTAAATTTCTTTAAATTTATTTTAAATAAATATATATAGATTATTAAGATTTTGATTTAAAAAGGGTATGCTTAAATTTCTTTAATTACAAATTGTACTCTAATTTGGTTGGTCAAAAAATAAGATAAAAAATAATTTTAAAACATTTCAATTTGGTTAATTATATTCATATCTTATTTAATTCAAATCCTATTCTCTCTATTAAGGAATATAATTTTAACAATAAATTTTTAAATGATTTCGTAATTTTGATTGGCTAAAAAAATAAAAATAAAAATTATCATTATTTATAAATATGTAATTTGATTTATTAGATTAATTTCTTATTATATTTTTATTTACTAAAAGAGATTATAGTGAAATTTATTAACAAAACATGTAAATTAATTATAAAATGCAATATAAAAGCTATATGATAATTTTCATAAATCAATTTGGTACTGAAATAAAAAATAAAAGCAACTAATATATAATAAAAACTATAAAAATCAGTATGTTGAAGAGAATATAAATGATATATTTCATATTTAAATTGCTACTTTAAAGAGATAAATAAATATATCAATTCTTTTTTAATGAGATATTACAGTGCAAGATATATAATTAAAAAAAATTACTATATATATAAAAATCACTATATTTATTGCAATTTAAATGAGAATTTATACTTTAATTATATAAGTAAAAAGCTAACAACTATAAAAAATAAGGATATAACGAGTATAGTCAATGTGCATCGCACATCATAAAGAAAACTAGTAACATCAAATGTCAATATAAATATAAATTAACTAACAACAGTTAGAAAATCAAAATATGGAATTATATGAAACAACTAATCCTAATTTGCAATTAATTTGATAGTGAAGGGTTCATATTCAAATATCACGAGTAGTCAGTTTAACACAATTATGTCAAGTAACTAATTAACTGCCCAATAGCTTAAGCCTGAAACTGAAAGTCAAGGTAAGTGTGTAAAGAAGCTAAATAGATAAGGCAAAAAGAAAGAAACAGATAAGGTAGCCAATGAAGAAAAGAAAAACAGAATCCCATAAAAAAAATAATAATAAAACAAGCATTAAAGATGTATCCTAAGTGAGGATAATGTAAATAAATAGAAAAAAAAAGAAAGACAAACATAAAAATGACCAAAGGAGAGTGGTGGGGTTTAGGGTTTGAAGGCCTCGTTGACTACGGCATGCCTGTATTATATTGTATATTATTATTATTATCATCATGTGTGGATCTTCTTTTGGCATATATTGGGCTAACCAAACTTCCCTAAAATCCAAATTTAAATTGTTTGATTTAGTTGTTTACATAAACAATTCAATTTTGATTTTAATAGAAATAATTATTTCTTTTATTTAATTTGTTAAGCACAAAAATAAATTTAAATTTGTTCAAAATAAAAGTGAATTGAATTATGATAATAGTTTTTTAAGTAGTTTTTAAAATTTATTTGGCAAAATTAAATGTTTTTATCTATTAGCTGTTTGAGTAATTTTTTATAAAATATTAAAAGTTAAACGTTATACGAGTTAACTTTTTATAGAATACTGAATGCTATTTTTTAATATAACATTTGAATTAATTTTTACATATTAAGATAACTTTTATATAAAAAGATTAACAAGATAACTTTTATATAAAAAGATTAACAGCTTAGCTTTTAACGTTGATAAAAAAACTATTTATACAGTTAAATACTATTAAAATAATTAATATTTATTAAAATAACTAATTTTATAAAATTTAATTCTACTTTTATATTCTAAAAAAATTGAATTTATTTGATTCGATGGAATCGAGGGAATCCTCGACGAATAGACGAGGATAAGAATGATAATTGATTTGAGTGCCATGTGTTGCTTTCGAAGTTTTTTTATAAGCATATTGAGAAAATGAAATGTCATGTGTTGTGATTTGGTGATTCTATTTCCATTCTATGATTATAGCCGTGAATTGGTGTGAGCAATTGACGGCTGTGATCTTGTGCCAAACATTCCTTATAAAAAAGTCTCCGTTTGTATAATATAAAATGTGAACGAATCGACGGACAGAATATAATCTTTCCTTCCCCTCCAATTAATATTTCCAATCTTCAAAGTGGAAAATCTTTTATAGAAGTTACCAATAAAGGCAAAAACATCTCTTGGTCAGTCTCTCTTTTCTTTTATTTTTGGCTTTTCTTCGAATGCTCTCTCAACGTCCGTTAAAAAGTTAAAAAGAAACAGAACATAGAGAATCTCATTTGAAACCCTAAATGAATTAAGAAAAGGAAAAGAAATTGAAGCAAAATGATTTTTGCCAAATGGTTCTAATATTACACGTGAGAGGAGCGTCAAAATTTAAAAACTTAAATGAACGATAAATTTGTGTTAATAGCTTATCAGCTAAATATTAAAAAAAAAAAAATCAAAAATTGATTGCTGAATGATTAAAAAGTGATATAAATTTAAATTTTTATTTATAAATTTAAATAATTAATTTAGTAGTTAAGATCAAACAAAGAAATTTATTTTATTATTATTTTAAAAGAAAAAGCTGTGAATAAAATAAAATAAATAATTTCTTAATTTAGCTTTGTTTAAGAGTGATTAGAAAAATCATAGTTTATGGTTTAATTATAATAGTTTCACAGGAAGTAATTGATTTATTTTTAAGATGTATCTTAATTATGTTAATTTGATAAAAATAATTATAAAATTATTTTGTACAAATTAATACTCTTATCAATAATCTCGTTTATAATAATTGTCTAAAAACAAAAAATAATTATTAAAAAATAACTCAATAAATTTAGTTAATATTTTTTATTTACATAACACATTAAACTAAAATACAATTAATTTATATTAAAGAATAAAAATTAATAAATAGTGCATGAGAAATTATTAATATAATTTAATGGTCATTTTCTCGTTTCAGTAATTTAAGAAAAATTGAATAAGTAATTTATTTAAGAATTTTTTTTATCCACTTATATTATTATTGTTTTTGTATATCCAGCTTTATATAACTTAGAAACAATAAAAAGGGGTTTTTCTTTGTTTATTTTTTTAAAACATTTTATGTCAGTGAATATAAAAACAGCAAAGGAAAAGAAGCAAGGAGGCATCCTGAAACCCGCCGCCCCCGCCCCCCTGAAACTGAAAAAACACAAAAGAGCAGTGGGCAGCGGGAGGGAAGGATTGAACTAATTTTTCTCTGGTTTTTCTTTGATTTTAAGTTTGATTTGATTGTTGGTATAATCTCATTGATGGGTTTTTGTCAGATTCGTTTGTTCTTTCTGATTTGAGAGGAAAAAAAAAATTCTTTCTTCTCTTTTTTCTTAGACTAAGACTAATCACAAAGACTCTGAAGACAGACCGTTTATTCTCTCTTTTCTTTTTCCCTCGAAAAGAAGAGTTTACACAGAGAATAGAGAAGGGGGAGAAAGTGAGGCGCGCTTTGTAAAGACCGTCATTGATAACAAGGTTGTTTTCTCATTATTCACACCGCTTTTGGTATCCATATATCTCTATAATATCTATGTTTCTATCAGTCTATCCTCTTTTGATTGACCACCTCTTTTAGTATTTAATTCCATTTACCCTTTGGTTGTATCAGAAACTAAGACTTCCTCTCTCTTATATCTCTTGCATTGGTGCTTGCTTGCTGCATTTTTATACTTCTCTATCTTGGTTTATCTTTATTTTTGTTAATTAATTGTACCCATTTGTTCTCATTTCTCTTTTTTATTGAGTATCAGTACGAAAGACCATTTGGAGAGAAGAGGTTAAAGTAATTAAGAAAAAATGAAGTACGTATTAGTGACTGGTGGTGTGGTTAGTGGACTGGGCAAAGGTGTTACTGCTAGTAGTATTGGTGTTCTCCTTAAAGACTGTGGCCTGCGTGTAACTTCTATCAAGATTGGTATACTTCTTTCTCCAAGCCTAAGTAGTATAAAATTATTATATATGAAGGAAGTTACCGCATTCATTATTCCATGTTGCTCATTTTGTAAACTATAGTCCATTCTCTATTGATTTATAAGCTTGCAAGTATGCAAGCTTTTTTAACTTTTGGGTTGCTGATTTTGCTTTTGGAAAAGGGTAATATAATGTAAATTATGCATCTTTCTTTTTTCTGTCCAACATTGTCTGTGGTTATAATAGGAACTCGTTTGGATATTATTTTTTGACCATTTCATTTTTGCTTGTTTCTGTTTATGCCACAAATATGTTGCCACATTAGCTTAGGAACTCGTTTGGATATTATTTTTGACCATTTCTTTTTTGCTTGTTTCTGTTTATGCCACAAATATGTTGCCACATTAGCTTAGGAACTCGTTTGCTTGTTTCTGTTTATGCCACAAATATGTTGCCACATTAGCTTAGGAACTCGTTTGGATATTATTTTTGACCATTTCTTTTTTGCTTGTTTCTGTTTATGCCACAAATATGGTGCCACATTAGCTTGTTGAAGTGACATCCATTGTTTTATATCATCTTATATTGCAGTCCTAATTTGTTCCATTTTTGCAGACCCTTATCTAAATACCGATGCGGGAACCATGTCTCCTTTTGAGCATGGGGAAGTCTTTGTATTAGATGATGGTGGTGAGGTAAATTAAATTAATGAATTGTTTTGCATTTGAATTACCCTCTTTAGTACTCTCTCTTTCACATAAGATCTATGTTTAATATTTGTGTGTGTGTGTGTGTGTGTGTGTGTGTGTGTGTGTTTTATTGTTAAAAGAGAATTTATATGAATTGTAAACAAAAGTAACTTCTTGCTATACCTCTCTTGATTTTGGTACTTCACAAGGTTGACTTGGACCTTGGCAATTATGAACGGTTTCTAGACATCAAGCTAACCCGTGACAATAATATCACAACTGGAAAGATATATCAGGTCATTGATTATTTCTTTTTGTTTATAGACTTGAAATTTGTGAATCAGATATTTGCTAAGTCATGTGAGCTTGCTGAACTCTCTAATAATTTGCTCTCCATAATTATTTGTCTTGTATTAACAGTCTGTGATTGACAAGGAGAGAAGAGGAGATTACCTTGGAAAAACAGTACAGGTCTGTTTTCCACATCCTGTCATTTTAATTTAAAATATGATACATCGCGACCTTAAATATTTTTGTTTGAGCCTTTTTTTTTTTGTCACAATAGGTAGTTCCACACATTACTGATGCCATCCAAGAATGGATAGAGCGTGTAGCCATGGTACCAGTGGATGGAAAGGAAGGTCCAGTTGATGTTTGTGTCATTGAATTAGGTGGAACAATAGGTACTTCACTACCATTGATGTGCGTTTGGATTAGTTGTCTGCAGTTTGCTTACAGTTAACCTTATATGAGCAGGCGACATTGAATCTATGCCTTTCATTGAAGCACTTGGACAATTTTCTTACCGTGTAGGTAAGTTGATGTTATATGTACACTTGCTACTATGGCTTTTATAAATTTATTTCGTGAAGCATTTTAGGTGGGCTCCTCTCTCATTTGCTTCTTGTTTTTAGGCCCTGGGAATTTCTGCTTGATCCATGTCAGCCTTGTGCCTGTTATCAATGCGGTTGGTGAACAGGTATAGTTAGACACTTTGTCCCTCCTAACATGCATTGTCTATTGTATGAGCTTTACATCATACCGTAATTTCAATTGATGTACTGATAATTTGTTGACCCTAATTATTGGTCATGTATGAATGCTGTGAATAACAGAAAACAAAGCCTACCCAGCACAGTGTTAGAGGACTAAGAGGACTTGGGCTGACACCAAATATTTTAGCATGTCGTAGTTCAAAGGTTTCTTCATTTTATTTCCTTGCTGTGGCTATGTTTCCTTTTGTCAAATGTCTGATTGCAATCTCATGTCTGTAAATTATCTTAAACAGGAGCTTGATGAGAATGTTAAGTTAAAGCTCTCTCAATTTTGCCATGTTCCGGTACTGGATGCTACATGCTGCTATTTTATTATGTGGTTTCCTTAACCGTGGTTACTTCTAATATAGATTTTGAAATATGTGCAGGCCGCAAATATTGTCACTCTATATGATGTTCCAAACATTTGGCATATTCCTTTGCTACTGAGAGTAAGTGGTTTTTCTTGACACTCCTGAATTTTCTTTTCTATTTTTTTTTCTTTCTTTTTCTGTACTAGTCATCAAACTAAAACTTGAAAGTGATGCTTTCTAATTTAGTTTTTCCCTCAACATGATTAGGATCAGAAGGCACATGAATCAATCTTGAAAGAGCTGAACCTTCTAGGGTTTGTCTTATGAATTCACACTTTGTTGCTGTCATAATCTCTTTTGTTTTTCATTTATATGGTCTTATTGCATCTGGATAATGGTACAGCATTGGCTTAGTTTTTCTACTATTTATTAACATCTTTATAATCTTCAGTGTTACCAGGCAGCCGGACTTGCAGGAGTGGACTGCTAGGACAAAAATTTGTGACATGCTGCATGATCCTGTGTGTAACATTCACCATCAGTTGTCAGTTGAGAGTTATTGTTTTCTACTAACTCTGCTGTTAACTATGCGTTGCAGGTTAGAATTGCTATGGTTGGAAAATATACAGGCCTTTCCGATTCCTACCTCTCTGTTTTAAAGGTAAATGCTTTTAGTGTTTCACCTTTTCTTCTTTAAATTCGATTTTCATTTTTGAAGATTTTTATGCTTTAGTATTATGTCACTAAGCTTATCTTCTACAATCAGTCACATCATCTTCTTGACTGATAAGGTGGTGAAACCAAATTGCACTTTCCTGGACTATTTTTGTCTACATTTCCTATCTATCCCTTATTGAATAATAGAAGTCAAACTTGTTCTTAAAGGAACACGATATGCGAAAAATTGTTAAACCTTGAAAATAATTTTTTTCCAAAAAAAATATTATTTATTTATATTTTTCTGTTAAAATCTTGGAACTTCTATCATGAATCTACTTCAGCGAGGTTTTTTCTCACTCGGATGTCTCATTGAATTTATAAATTATCTTACTTAATAACCACAAAACCCTCGACGTTAATTTATGAATTTGGTTTCTTTTTGACATCAACTTAGTATCATCTTAGTTTTAGCTGTATTTTGGTATAATTTGTAATATTTTACCATGCTGGCTGTAGTTGACAATTTTAAGGCCTCATTTATTTTGCAGAAAATAGTATTCCCTAGGAAGTAAATGCAACAATTATGTTTAGTTTGCAAAAATATGATCTATAATAAATTTATGTGAGATACTAAGGCAGGGGCTTTAATTTATTACACAATATACTTAACATAAAAATTGGTGAATGAACCATATATACATATAAATTGGTGCAAGTCCTAGTGAAGAAGTGTTAGAGCAAATCTTAAAAGTGGAGTTTCACAGTGAGTTTCTTTCTACTAAGTACCACTTCTTAGGAAATAACTTCCCACAGAATGGCCATATAATTAAATCAAGCAAGGACATAATTGACTCTCCTTTGGTTATGAATTTAAAATGCGGTTAGAAAGTGATAATAAAGATAGTATGTCATTTCAGGTACTTTTCTTAAGCTGGATGTTATCTATTTTCTCTAACTTGTGATTTGTCTTTGGAAATTGAATTTTGGATGCTCCTTTAAGGTAGCGTCAGCAATTGAAGTTATTACGCAGTTTGAATTCTGGATCATAAACTGTTGACAGAATGTTCAAAAATTTTTCTATAGACAAATAAAAGAGCAATTTTTCAATTCACAATCTTAATTATTGCAACGGTATTCTTTATTTTGAGCATCCCTTATGTGCATTATGAATCATGTTGAATTGGTTTATGTGCATTTAAAATTTCATGCGACTAATCATGTCGTGATGGTATCTATTAAAATTCTAATCCCATCTGTGATGTATAAGTTGATGCATGAGTGATGTGCTCCGTTTAGATTTTGTTCAGTTGCACAACGAAGATGTTATAAGATGTAAGATACTAATGTAGTGGAAGGTTGTGATAGGCTCTTTTGCATGCTTCTGTTGCTTGCCGCCGGAAGCTTATTGTAGAATGGGTTGCAGCAGGTGATCTAGAAGACATTACTGCTAAAGAGGTCAGTATTAGTTATCTATTTCTGCTGCATGATTCCCTTCATTCTGCACTCCATTCTGAGCATGTGCACATGAAATGAAGGAGGTGGGGGTATGTGATGCATATGACCATTTAGTAAATGAATAATTTGTAGCTTGACTGTCTTTCACTTATTTCAGGCTCCTGAAGTTTATAAAGCTGCATGGGATCTTTTAAAGGTGAATCTGAATGGCACACTTGCCTTTGAGTTGTGTTCTACTGGTTTTATTTTCTCTCATTTTGCAGTTGATTCTCTTACCAGTCCTGTGGACCTTTTCTTTTCCAATGCAGGGAGCTGATGGTGTTCTAGTTCCAGGAGGGTTTGGTGATAGAGGAGTGCAAGGAAAGACTCTTGCTGCAAAGTATGCTCGTGAGAACAATGTTCCATTTCTTGGCATTTGCTTGGGGATGCAAATTGCTGTCATTGAATTTGCCAGATCTGTTCTTGGTTTGCATGATGCAAATAGTACTGAATTTGATCCTGAAACTTCAAATCCTTGTGTCATATTTATGCCTGAGGTTCGCTGATAAGAAAATTTGTTAATATTACCATTTTTCTTCTTATTTCATCTGCTGAATCTATTATTTATAACCTGGTCTATTCAATAGGGTTCAAAAACTCACATGGGAGGAACTATGCGCCTCGGATCAAGGAGGACTTATTTCAAGATTCCTGATTGTAAATCTGCTAAGTTGTAAGACTTGTGACTTAATTCTCATATACATTAATACATGTCCATCCGACATTTTTGGTTTTGGGGATGTTACATAAGTTTCATTCTGGGTATAAGTGTATTGTGTGGAGGAATTTGTAATTACATCCTTACTTATATACAGTTATATGATGGTATTTAGAGAGTAAACCACAAAAAATGGAAAAAAAATGTGGCTTCTGAAACATCATGGTGAATCATCCTGTTATCAGAACCGTACTTTATTGTCTGAAATTGGTTTTTTAGGTATGATAATGCTAGCTTTGTTGATGAGCGGCATCGACATAGATACGAGGTAACATATCTGTCCATTGACAATGCATTTGCAGGAGCAGTGTAAGAAGTGCAACAATTATTGCTCTTCATATATGACCTTTCTTAGAAGAATTATTGGTTGTGTAGGTCAATCCTGATATGATATCACAATTTGAAAATGCCGGTTTATCATTTGTTGGCAGAGATGAAACTGGTAGGCGCATGGAGGTAAGTTTTTATGAAAGTGACGGTGTGTTTGTATTCGATAAATCTAATGAGCTAACAATTGCAAGAATGTTCACCTTTATATGACATTTGGGTCTGGTGATCATTTTATCATCCTGTCAACTGCAGATTATTGAATTGCATGGTCATCCTTACTTCATAGGTGTTCAGTTCCACCCTGAATTCAAATCTAGACCAGGGAAACCTTCTGCTCTTTTCCTAGGTATAATTTCTTCCTATCTTATGAATTTAACTGGTGAAATTTAATAGCATTATATGAAGTGCACTATCAACTTCATTAATTATTTGTAAAATAGTAAGATCTTATATTGGTGAATTCTTAATGAGAATGATATCTGTCTGTATTTGACTCATTTATAGTGCTCTCCCGTTAATTTTAGATGTCTGCATGAAATCTATCAAGATTTCATTTTCTTTTTTGGAAAAAAGTATATTTAATATTTTTCTAATTTGTTCCGCACTTTCCCCCAAGTTCTATAGGTATCTCAGTATTTTGAGCTAGATATCATCATTACAATGACTTGTCATTTAGGCCAGATAGTCCGAGCATGAGAAACCTGTTTTATACAGCACAAATCATATAAACATTCTGTCATGTTGCACTTGGATGTCATTGTAATTGCTTTTGTCATCTTGCAGGACTTATAGCAGCAGCATGTGGGCAGTTGGATGCGGTCCTACAAAATAACGGCCATGCAAATAAGGTGTTACCAAATGGAATAAGCAACGGGAAATCAACAGTGAAAGCCTACCAAAATGGAAATGGCATTAAGTCTTGCAATGGCTACTTAAACGGTGTGTATAGCAATGGTAATGGTGTGCATTTTTAAGGAAGCACAATGGATTGGGCAATGCACCTCTGGTTATGGTATCAGTTCTTTCGAAGCACTTTTGGTTGTCTTCGGTTCAGTTTGTACAGCAGCTGAGAATGGGTGGACATTTTTTTGTTTCTTAAGTGACTTATCTTAGGATGAAGCTAGACTATGAAAGGTAAAAGCTTGTAGTCTCCACTTACCGGTGAAATGTGGGCTTTAAGGTACTGCATCACCCTCTTTGATGCACTAAGTGTCCTTTTTGTGGAATTTTGGCATATGGTACTAATGTTTCTTAGGGCCATTACAGAAATCAATGTTGGTTGAACTTTAATTACTATGGCATCAAGTGTGCATCTCTTCAACATTTCTCTTTAGTTTCTATACCTGTCTTGTTTTCTTTTTTGAGAAAAGTACCTTTCTAATTTTGGAAGGGGCAAGTAATGTGTAAACTTGTGTTGTTCGAGATCATTCTAAAATTGGCCTGTTATTTGGGTTTGTCTAGTCCACTTCGGAATTGGTATTAGAATGGTAATTATTGTCTAAATTAATAATCTTTATTCATTTATTTTTTTTTTAAGGGTGATGATATTCTCACAGTTGATTCTATGGTTATTAATTTAAATGGAATTTAAATTAACATGAGTATCCTCTTAAAGAAGTTCAACAGATTTTCAAGTTCGAAAAGAAAAAAGGTCGTATTCAATATTTGGAAAATTTGGAAAATATAGAGCTGATGCATACACTTTCTTTGCTTCTTAACGCAGATTCAAGAAAAATGTTTTCTTTCGAAAATATTTTCCTAATAACTATTTTTTTTTTTTTGTTGTTTAGTTGTAATATTGAGAATTAATTAAAAATATAACAAAAAAGACCACAAAACAGTAATAATTATAAAAATTTCGTATAAATTTTATCATTAAATATGAAAACAATGCAAAAAAAAAGGGTAAATTATAAAAGTCGTCGGGAACGGTGGCCAACAATGGCCGGTGGTAATGAACTGTGGCTGGTAGTAGTGGCGACTAATGATTAATAAATTAAAAATATGGATTTATAAGGTTAAAATAAGTTTATCAATGTCCGCAAAATATTTTATTCTTTTGAAAATTGTAAGTCATTTCATTTGATTAGGAAAAATTTTTTCATTGATTTATTTTTCTAAATGTCCCAAACAATAGAAAATTGTGAAAAAATATTTTCCTGCAAATTACTTTATGAAATAAATGATAAATGGAGCCTTAGACAACATAATTTTCTCTTACTTGAAGTCTGAAGAAGTATGGGATGTTGTGATTGGAATAGAACTCCAAGAGAAGAGACATGAAAAATGCCTCAATTAATGATGATACTGATTTCATTTTTTTTAATGAAAATTTAGGTAAAACATATTTGGATTCTTAAATTATATCTTCGTTAATGCTTTCATCACTTTATTTTTGAGAAATTACTATGACGTTCCTAACTTTTATTTCAAACTCACTATCATGTCCTAAAAATTGAGCTCTTCCAGTAGCCAAACACTTTTTAGATGCAAGGATTCGACAGTGAGTTTGAAGCAAAAATCAGAGATGCCATAGTAATTTCTGAAAATTAAAGGGATGAAAGTGTTAATTATGATATAATGTAGAGATCCATTCATATTTTAACCTTCAAAATTTAAGAGAAGAAAATTTGTAGTTATAGAAAAATTTTTGCCTACATTTAGCAAGTTAGGATGAGGTAACACGCGGAAGACGATGCATTTCACCTTTAATGGGTTCCTATTTGATTTTATTCAAAAAGTTGATTTTATTTTTTTTATTAAAAATCCATTATCTTCATAGAGACAATGTTTTATGAAAAACACAAGTTTATTTTAAAGTTGATTGGAGGTTTTTTTATTATTTCTTTTAAAAAAATGATCTCTTATTTGGTAAGAGTTTTTAAATGGGTCGCCACCCTCTTTTAGGGAAAAAGATGAATTGATTCCCTTTTTGGTGAAAACCGATCCATTAAACTAGCTCAGGAAGTAAGGATGACATTGGAGAGGTGTTAGGCACTCGGATCGCCAAGTTTTTGGACCGGCCTTCATTGTTTGTTTGATTATTCACCTTCGAGTACTAGAATTGACTTCAATTAAGATACTAAAATATTTTAATGCACTTTTGATTAAAACATGACATTCATAAGCATTATTAATCAATCAATTAATAATCACAACATGAAACCAAAAATATCTATAAAAACAAGGGAGGAGAAAAGAGTACGGTCCATGGGATCCTAGTTACAATCTACCCAAATGACCTTCAATTATAACCCAATAGCCCTCAATTCTTATATCAAAGCAATATATAGAGTTTATTATGAACTCTTTGCAAATCAAGCAATAATGGTATGTATGGTATATAAAAAAAACCACATCATATCACCAATAAAAATAATATAGCCAACGTACACAACCACAACAACAATTAAAACATTAACAAATATATAATCAATAATAAGAACAATGAAACGTAAAGATTAAGGCATAATAAAAGTAATGAGAGTATAATTAAAGCATATATGCAATGAAAATAAAGCATAAAAACATTAAAGGTAAATAACTTGCACGAATGAAAAATAAAGAACTGCAAATGTAAAAATGGCAGAATATTTAGATTAAATTAAGAGATAGCATGAATCAAAATTTAAGCCTCTGATGTTGTTCCTTTGAGAGTTGAACAAATGTGACCATCTCTATCAAAATTCATGTTTCTTATTGATTTATGTGATTCTTTTGGTTCTAGAACATCATTTAGGCCTTAAGGCTTGATACCAGACCCAAAAGAACCAACATAATTGAATTAAAGAGTGAAGAACATAAAATACAGGTTTTGGATAGGAACCACATGCGCCACACTGAGGACGTTGGATTTTTCCCAAAAGATTGGAAAGAATTGAATTGAACGAGCTTGATTTAATTTTATTTAGTAAAAAATATATTTTTTTTTCACTTAAACCCGTTTAATCCTCGAAAAAAAGGTTCTCTTACTTTGATAAGAGTTTTATTTTGGAGTCGCCACCCTTATTAGGGAAAATTCTCGAATTAGTAAAAAGATTGGAAAGAATTGAAATTGAACGACTTGATTTAATTTTATTTTAGTAAAAAAATATATTATTTTTTTTTTCACTTTAAAACCCGTTTAATCCTCGAAAAAAAAGGTTCTCTTTACTTTGATAAAGAGTTTTATTACTTTGATAAGAGTTTTATTTTGGAGTCGCCACCCTTATTAGGGAAAATTCTCGAATTAGTCGATTCTTTGGAATCGACTAATCTAGTTTTAAACCATAGATAGGGTTGGGAGTTAGGTACGAAATGGGAAGGTGTTAGGCACCCATTTCGTCCGGCTAAGCCGGCCTCCTAATTGTCCATTAATTCACAATAAGTTAATAGTGCAATTAACTAAAAAATTGAGATGTAAAACCTTTCATGCACTTTTGGAAAACATGTCAAACATACATTCAATCTCATCCATACAACATAAAAATAAGCCATCCAAAGAAGGGGAAGTGAAGAAGGGGAAGTGAGGAGAATAGAATACAAACCAGTCCCCTAAAATACAATCTACCATCAAACCCTCCAAATTTTCCAAACCCAATCTATCTATTACAAACAAGCTATAATGGGAATCCCATTAAGGATCCCTTACATTTTGCAATAATAACACATTACATTACAATAAGGATACAAACACAATGCATACATTATTTACAAAATTTAAACATCAATTCTCGCAATAATCATACACATCCTTCCATACAAAGAATGATGAAATGATGCATGTTCACAATTACATTATAAATAACAAAGGGGTTAGCGTGCGCCTCATGCTTGTGGCACACACCACATGTAGTGGCATAGGGCCTTTCCAAAATCAGGAAGACTTATGGTGTTTCTTAGGTGGAAACAGGGGATCTGAGCACTAGTAGCATGAGGCACTAGGAAGTGGCGCACGCCACTCTTGCTGGCCTCGAGCTACAGAGGTGCAGAACCTCCTGTTTGGTTGATCCTAGATTTTCCTTACAACCAGACCCAGAAAAAGTGTCTTAAACACCAAAAAAGAAAAGAAAAAGATGGAAGATAGATTAAAGTTTCTTAGAAACTACCTTTGGTAGTTTCACTTGGAGATTGAATGAAAAAAGGATGAAGAGCCCAACTCCTTGGTTTTCAATCCAATGATGTGAGCTTCAAGATTAAAATTTATGTTTTTAGGATTTCAGATTGATCATAAGGGGTTTTTTGATTGATTAAATGTTAGATCTCAACTTGAATCCAAGGTTAACGCTAATTGCCTTAGGATTTTTGAGTTGAGTTTTAAAGAGCAAGAGTCTCTCCTAGTTTTCCAAAAATCCTCCCCTAAAGCCTACCCCCAAATGCCTATTTATAGACATTTGAGAGTGGGGTGGCTCCATTTAGGGCTAACGTGGCAAAAATGCCTATTTATAGACATTTGAGAGTGGGGTGGCTCCATTTAGGGCTAACGTGGCAAAAACACCACTATTGGGCCCCGCAATGAGACCGGGCCTACTTTTACTAGATCGGATCGGGTAGCACGTGAAACAAGATGATGATGCACTAGGAAGTGTGCCAAGCACGCCCGATGCACTTCTCGGGCCCGGTTTCATCGCGAAACGCCCGATGACCTAAAAAAGTAAAAATGGTTAAACACATCGGTAATCTCAGCCACAAACCATTGGTCCAAAAACCAGGGTGATCGGGATCCAGATCCAATTTTATGGGAAAAATGGTGTATCATCACTGAACGTTTTAAGGACAAAATTTAAGCATCTACAGTTTGCCCACACTTTGATAATATTTTGCTTTTCAAGCGAAATGTCATCAAAGTGTAAAGTAGATGTGTAAATAAAGAGATACTTACCTGATTTACGTGCACACACGGCTTTGGTGGATGAGGAGCGCTATTCTGGCGACTTTGTTGATGTGGATTTGAAAACCTGCCTCAGGGGACTTACGGTACCATTACGGCATTTGTAGGTGGGCGAATTAAGTTAGGATGGCTGTTGACAGCTTCTACAGCTAACTTGTGCCAATTTGCAGCTCTAGTTTGAGAATGCTCCACTTCGGGAGGTCGTCCTTTGGACAGTGCCCAGGGGGACTTTGAAAACCTGCCTCAGGGGACTTACGATACAATTATGGCATTTGATAGGTGGACGAATTGCACCATGGTGATTATCGACAACTTCTGCGGCTATATTAAGCCAGTTGGCAACTTTGGTTTGAGAATGCTCCACTTCGGGAGCTTATCCTTTGGACGGTGAAAGGCGGAATAAGATGCACCATACGGGACGACTTCAGGGGTGCTCCACTAGGACAACTTCAACAAATGAATAAGTATGAATCGGTCGATTCGGTTTCTGAAATGCTCCACTTCAGGAGGTTGTCCTTCGGATGGTGAAAGGCGAAATGAGATGCGCCACATAGGACGGTTTCAGGGGTGCGCCACTGGGAAGACTTCAACAGATGAATGAGTACAACACTTCGGTTGACCCCATTTCTAAAATGCTCCAC